AGGTTGTGGTTGTTGAGACATTACGCGTTGAGTGTCGCGCATGCGCTTTGCTGGTGTTCGTGGGGCGCTCACTGAGGTGGGGCGCTCACTGATAAAACAGGTTATACTAATTCTTAATTTGCAAGGATTTGCGTCCTAGCTATATAAGGTAGCAGATATAGCTAATAAGATACTTAGTGTGCGTATTAAAGAGCCTATTAGTAAACTATAGGCTAGCAGGCTTATAACATATTTAGATAAGCTTAAAATAGCCTTTAACTAAGCTAAGGATAGATAGAGGATACTATAGGAAGATCCTAACATAATTAGCGTGTAGTTTAAGCTAGTTAAGGATACTAAAGTTAAGTATAGTATTTATAATAACGTGTTTCACCACCAAGTCGCGCACCACCACTGAGTCGCGCGGCCCTACAAACTTTGCAACTATTACATCTATTACAAAGATGCCACCACAACACAACACACAATTAATCTACAATAAAGGCGCACTATACCTTGCAATCTAGGCTACAAATGCTACTGTGTCTAATAGTACAAAACACGTGTCTAGAGTGTTTAATGTTCCTAAATTAACCCTAAGAGACTAACACGCTAGAAAACACGCACAATGTGACTGCAAAGCCAACTTAAAGAAGCTTAAGAAGACAGAAGAGGACGCAATAGTTACACGTATACTAGAGCTAGATGAGCGAGGGATAGGCCCTACAAGGACTATGGTAGAAGAAATGGCCAACAATCTGCTCGCTGCGCGCGGTGAAGGACCTGTTGGCAAGAACTGGGTAGACAGGTTCAGAACACGTACTAAGGAAGTTAAGCTTCAACGCAGCTGTCCATACAATCATTAACAAGCCCTAAATAAAGACGCACGCATTATAGAGCCCTAGTTTAAGCTAGTAAGAAGGACAAAGAAGAAGTACAGGATCCTAGATAAAGACACACACAACTTTAATAAGTCTAGCTTTATAATAGGCATAATTGCTGCTTAAATAGTCTTTATAGGCTCTAAGAAGCAAAGCAATCCTAAGAAGATATAGCTAGGCAACTGTGACTAGGTCACAATCATCTAGGGCATCTGCGCTAGTGGATAGGCCATCCTACCCTTTATTATCTTTAGCGGCAAGGTCCTTATATTAAGCTAGTATCTAGGACTACCTCACAACTAGGTAATTAAGACCAGCACTAACAGCTAGACAACAAATAAGCTTAGCCTGAAGTAGTTAAAGCACTTTAACGCGCATGCAAAGGAGCGTACTGTTAGCGTGTACTGTCTGCTAATTGTAGATAGCTATAAGAGCCACAACAGTTACTAATTCCTTAAGTACTGTGAGGAACAGAAGATTGTTACTCTCTATATGCCTCCTCACTTGTCGCACCTGTTGCAGCCGCTTGACGTGGGCTGTTTTGCCCCTTTGAAGCGCGCGTACTCTGCTGAGATTGACAGCTAGGCAAGGTACTCTATCACACAAGTTAAGAAAGAGACCTTCTTACTAGCCTTCTATATTGCCTTTAATAAGGCAATTACAAAGAAGAACATCTTAGTAAGCTTTAAAGGCGCTAGCTTAGTTCCTTACAACCTAGAGCAGGTGCTATTAAAGCTTAATATAGTGCTTTGTACACCAACACCTGCACTATTAGAGACTACCCTGTAGGAGTCTAAAACACTAGCTACTATAAAGGAGATAGAGGCGCAATTAACGCTTATTTATAAGCGCATACAAAGGCATAGAGAATTACTAATCTCTCCTCTTCTACAGGCTATTAATTTGCTTGTAAAAGGTATAGCTATTATAGGTTATAATTTAGTATTACAGGCGCAGGAACTAGTAGGTATTTGTAAGGTAATAGCTACTATAACAGAGCAGCATAGTTACAAAAGAAAGTATATTTAGGTAGAGAAGAGTCTAATAGTAGGTAATGTACTAGATTTAATAGCTAAGAAGGACTGTAGTAGTAGGGAGGCAGCTAAACAGGGTGCAAAGAGGGTGTGCAAAGACAGGCACTGTAGATATTGTAGCAAGATTAGCTATAACTTACGCACCTGCACTACAGAAATTATAGATTAAGATAATAGCAATGCTTTTAAATAGTACTTTAAGGCACAGTATGTTTGTGCGCAGTACTGTGGTGGAGAGTAATGGTCTGTAATAGTCGCAAAGTTCGTAGGGCCGCGCGACTCGGTGGTGGTGCGCGACTTGGTGGTGAAACACGTTAATAATATGCCTAATTTTAAAAAAAATAAGGTTCTAGATAGGTGTTGCTTTGTCTTTAAAGGTTGTTACAGGCTTAGAGAGACATGCTTAGCTAGAGTTTGTTTAGCTAGGTAATTGCAAGTAGGTTACTATTATCTAGAGCATCTGTGCTGCTAGGTATGTAACCCTACCTTTTATTATTTACAAAGGACGCGTCTACATCTCTGCCTAGTATAAGGAGATAGATATACCCTATAATTAGAAGCTCTTAGTCTCTAAGAATAGTTAGATAAATAACATGCTTAGCTTTAAGTAGTTAAAGCACTTTAACACACATACAAAGACGTGTTAGGTAGGGGTGTATAGGTTGCTTATCTTAGATAGCTATAAGAGCTATCTTAAGTAGGAGTTTAAGGACTATTACCTAGAGAATAAAATCCTTACTCTCTATATACTACCTTACTTATTACACATCCTCTAGCTACTTAATATAGTCTATTTCTTTGTATTAAATTATAAGTACTTCTAATATATTTAAGACTTAGTATGCTAATACATCTTCTATATTAATAAGTAAGGCTTCCTACTAGCCTTTAGGGACATATTCCTTAATATTTTTATAAATATTAACTACTAAAAGGCCTTTAAGGTATTAGGGCTTATCCCTACTAATATTTAGATAGTGTTAGATTGCCTTAAAGTTTAGCTGCATACCCCACTAGCAGTACCTCTACCTAAAACGCTGTAGTAATCTAAGTGTAACGACGCAGGCAAGAAGAGAGATATCCAGAATAGGTGTGAATCCGCTACAAGGCATATAGGAGTGCTAGGATAATAAGAACACTAGGATATACTCTCTACACCTACAGGTCTTGTATAAAAGGATATAGAAAAACTACTCTATAATGCTACAGTTCCTTACTTCTTATATATAAGGATTTGGTAGCAGTTTGGTGCGAGCTCATGCCATGCGACAAGGGCCATGGTCATGAGTCGCTGGAACTGTATCCTAGTGGTATCGGGTCACTGTTCGTAGAGCGTTGTTACTACAAGCCTCCTATAATTTAGGGATCTTTATCAACGTGTCTTTAATACTTCCAGGAACACTTTAAGCTAATATTATAATAGTTTGCTACTTACGTCTTCTGTCCCTCTCCTTCGTCTTTCCTTAACTGCGCAATGCGTACCGCCGACAAACAGCTGCAGGCATCTAAGGAGAATAGCCGCAGTGCGCACACATAAGGACATCTAGCCGCTAGCCGCTTGTTAAAGTAGCCTAGGGTAGCCCTCTACATTTGCTGTGTTAGAAGCCTAGTCGCACACTAGAGCATAGGGATCTTCTATTAAAACAAACCACCTACTCCGCCACCTGCTAAGGCCTAGCAAGCGCTTGTTAGACGCTTTTGTTACTCGCAGCGTTTAGGTACAACAAGCTCCTTGCGAGTATGTACTTAACTCTCTCTAACAGCGTCTGTTGCCGTACGTAAGCTCGCACAGTCTTGTGTGTTCTAACATTGTCTGTTACTAGACAAATGTAGCCTCAGTCTTGTGTGTTACAAATTGAGAAGTTCCAGGAGTCTATTAAGCTTCTATGTTGGCGTGGTCTCGTGTTGTAACAATTCGCCTGTACCCTTGTACCTTCTTAAAAGATTTGTTTAGCAATGCTCCGCGTATATTTAGCCCCCTTCTTACAGCCACTGCTCTGGCTATGTCAGCCTATCGTGCACAACCCCAGCACTTCAGTCTACAGTTCCCCTACTCAAACAAGCTTTGTGGAGGCCGAGATAAGTCCCACCTCTGCTATAGCAGAATCACCACTCTGTAAGACCGCTCACTTTTGTTAAAGCTTACGGCAGCTGCATCACTAACGTAGATAGATGCCAAGTAGGCTCACACCTTCGCTTAGTCTCATCAGAACCTTAAGGCAATATTTACTTATCACCTAGCTCATAATACCATCTTCACGTTTCTAGATAAACTCTTGTCCTACAAGCTAGGGAGAAAATCTCCTTATAGCCTACAGGCAGCGCAGCTTGTAGGTTAGGTATTAACAAACAGCTTTCTAGCGGAGACTCACTTACTAGCGTCCCTTTCACCTCAAACATAGCTGCCAGCACACCAAGTCTGCCCTAAGGACTTTGCCTAGCCCAGACAGCATTCAAAAACACCGACTAACGCCTCTGCTGTGCTTAAGCTTTTAGGCACGTTAGAGAACAAGCCACTGCTAGAGCCTCCAACGTCTCTCTCCCAAGACTCAGACATTATCAGCACCTTCTAAGCTAACATTAGCTTCCCTCGCCATTCCCTCCGCATCTCTCGCCTACGTCAGCGCACAATGCCACGCGCTAAAGACAACCAGTCCCTCCGCAAGAAAGCGCTAAACACGTCTTTCATACAGCAAATAACTCCACAGAATCTGATAAGCAGCATATTTAACGCCTGATCCTTATTCGACGCCTCATCCTCATCAGAGACCCCGCCCACAGCTGCCGAGATCCATAGCGCTCCTCTGATTCAAGTCCACCGCCAACGCGTTCCCGCCCCACAACTGCGCAATCTGCCGCGGCGTACTAGAAGACAGCAATCAGCTAATTATAAGCTGCTGTCGTGCGTACATTCTCTACTGTTCACGCGGCAATCGCTAACATTGCGCAGAGAAACCTATCCACAATACTTGCCACAACGACGTTCTACACGCGAAGAGGGAGTGGCTCCCTGTGCCTCGGTGTGTGGTATGTGCGGACCGAAAACGTGTTGCAGAGATCATTGGGGCGAAGGGTGAGCGGGATGCGGTTGGGGAGGGTAGCGGTGAGGAGATTCTACCGCTTAAGGGAAAGGGAAAGGCGGTCGTGGAGGAGAAAGGGGCAAAGGAGTAATGGATCGCGGCCATCTCGAGTGAGCGCTAGCACTTGTGGGTGTAGCTGATAACGTTGGCGGTTGGACGTGGGTTCACCGGAGAAGTCATACGTCCGACCTTCTCTTTCTTTGAGCGTGAAGAATATCTCGTGTCAAAGCTGAGGAGTTTGCTGCGGAGAGCCTGAGGCCCTGGAGTTATGCAATTCGATATTTTCAGACACTTGGCGGCGAATAGCTGATCCAGGAGGAAGTCACAGGCTCCACTGCACAGTCATCTTCTACAAAATTTAGGTAGGGTCCTGAATACAGATTTTTTTTGGTCAATGTCCTCATAGGAGTCAAGATGTGAGAGTTTGTGAAGTAATGCTAGGGCAATAGCTGTGGCCACATTTGCATACATGCCCGGGAGAGTATTTCGGAAGATAATAAATATACCTTAAGATGAATACATCCCTATGGCTCCATGCACACATTAATACTATATTTGCTCAAGACGGATCCATACGCGCACGCGCGCCAGATAATCGCGTCATCTTGGCCAGAGTAACATACACGAGGGAAATGGAGATCGAAAGGACTTTGACCTATCTTACATTGGCTACAATCCTACGGCTTCATATGCCGTCATCACTTCTGCTCATGATGGGTTCGCATCTCCGCACTCGCGCCTCCCGAACAGGGCGATCCAGTATTGCACATTCTCTTCAGCGGAGCCCTCTGGGCCACCCCAACGGAAGGGAAGGGCTTGCCGTGACGCCATTGGCATATCTTTGTCTGAAGCTTTTGCAATCTTCCATGGCGAGCGTTCCAAGACACCCAGGCCAGAATCGGAACCAACGTGTTTGCGTTTGAGATTTTGTGTGGCCTGAAACGGAGAGTGGGACGGGGCATCAGGACCGCCAGATGTTGGCGCAGGTGGAGGTGGAGGTGGCGGAGGTGGAGGCTGAGGTGGAGCGGGCCTTGATTCGGCGTTCCCTTTATTGCTGGAGGGACCCGGAGGCGGTCCGGCTGATGTAGAGGATGCCATGCTGGCAACGGCCCACGCCAAGTTTCCTTGATCTTGCAGAGACCTGAGCTCCGCGAGCAAATTTCGTACGTTCAGCAGTTCTCTTAGATGCGCTGGCCATGGTTGACGTGTGAGCGCTGCGAGGTTGGCCGTAAGTAATAGCCTAGCTTTCCAAAGAATTGCACCTGGATCACCGTGCCAATGAAATTGGTGTGGGGAGCCAATATTGTCTTTGTTCTTGTAGTCCACCACCGGATATGCCGTGTAAAGTCCATGCGTCAGCGCCTCGCCTGTCTTTTCGGAACAATATGCCGCATACAATGATGCTAAGACAGGCACTCGAGGACGCAGCGGTGTATTTGTCTCGATCTGCTCATGCCAACGCCGTTCGTGGTCGAGGAAGAACTCCATATAAGAAGGAACGATGACCAGCTGAGAGCACTTGGCATCAAAGGCAGTATGATCGCAAATACAGAGACTGAGGGCATTGTCAAAGTCGCCAAGAGTCTCTAGGCTTGTTAAGCCTGACTGACGGCTTTCCACAAATTCGTTTGTTTCGGATTTGTCGAAGACGTGCGCACTGTGCAGGTTGTAGATGACGCCGCAAATAGTACATCCAGAGTATGTGTTCCGCAGTCGTGCTTTGAATGACTCAGTGAATGCCGTGGAGTCGCTGGCTCGGGAGCGTTTCGAAGGGGAGGAGGGCGAGGAGACATCGTCTTCATAGCCTCGTTTCTTGTGCGACGCGAGTGTAGAGGGCGCGGTGTGTTTTCGAAACGCGACTGGAGAAGGCGGTTGCTGAGGCGGACGCGACGCAGGCGAGGCGAGATTGCTGTCGATGAGAGTTTGTTCCTCTGCCGAGGTGGGTTGGGAGCTGTGTGGTAGCAGTAGAAGAGGATTGCCGCTGTCGTCGAGCAGGCGCGACATAAGCGCTGCGAGCGTGGAAGTTGTGTTGTTGATTCGAGTTGCGGAGTTGCGGAGTGGGGCGATGATGCCCAGCACAGATCGCGCGGGCGCGCTTGCTATTTCTAGTGTCTAGGCCGATAGCTTAGTCATCCATGACGAAAAATACCGCCAACCAACAGTTATCAGAACGCCAGGCTGGACCGTTTCGATCAAGTGAAAATAAAGGCGCCATGTAGCAGTCGTGCAGTCTACACAGTAGAAATTTAACAAGGGCAAGGTCAGAGTATCCCTCTAGGATAGTAATCGCGACTGGGTGACGGTGATAGCATGCGTGTGTGCTAATGGAGGAGTGTTGCCCCCTAGCGTCATCTACGCTGCGTCTGGAAAAGCAGTACAATCAAGCTAGGTTAACAATATAGACCCTAGAAAACACTTAGTACACTTCACAACTAGTCCTTTTAGGTAGAGCAACAATAATCTAGGCCTTGCCTAGCTTAAACAGGTGTTTAATTGCTACACAGCCTACACTAAGCAGAAAGTACAGAGAAAATGGCGCCTCCCAATCCTTAATAGCCACATATCCCACGTAACGATAGATTTTATAGCTTATTATAAGTTAGCAACTAACGTAGATTATCACCAAGCCATCCATATCACTAAATTTTCTCTTAGTTATTACTGCTAATTACTCTTTAAGCTCTCACACACAGGCCTTAATAAGGACATTATTATATAGCATCTCTTTAGCCCCTTTTACAAGCTTTAAGAACCCCTCTTATACTATACTTAGTAATTATTAGAAGGAATTACTTATAAGCTTAGATTAAGACCTAAACTTATATATATTGCTTAGTGTCTTAGATTACTACAGCGTTTTAGGTAGAGGTACTACTAGTAGGGTATGCAGCTGTACTTTAAGGCAATCTAACACTACCTATATATTAGTAGGAACAAGCTCTAATACCTTAAAGGCCTTTTAGTAGTTAACCTTTATAAATATATTTAGGAATATATCCCTAAAGGCTAGTAGGAAGCCTTCCTTATTAATATAGAAGATATATTAG